ACTCTGGCTGGGGCCGAAAGCAGCTTCGTAACTCGACTGGCCTCGACATGCCCCAAGGAGCAAATTGAACAAAAGGAGCCAACCCCGGCCCCAGAATGGATGGGTGGAGCAGTGGTGTTCAACCGACTCAAGTTGGAGGAGTGGCAAAAGGGGCTGTGGAAAGCTGCTGAAGCCGAATTCTTGTTGTACTACCATCGGCCTGAATGGAGCAGAAAGCTGGAGTGGTGGGAGCGAGAAGCCTCAGACTGGACAGCACCTAAGGAGCGCTACTTGCCAAGGTGTGGCAGCCAATCAGTGGAGCAGATGAGGCAGAAGTTTAGCAGCCTAGAGGTCCAAGAAGGAGAGCTGGTCCCATGGCTGGATCCTAGACCCCCAAGGGGGCTCAGCTCTTCTACCAGCATAGAGTAGGAGCTGCGGTGGCTGGAGGAGCATTGTCAGTCTTTTGTCATGAACGAAACCCAGAGGATTGCGCCTGGGAACTCTGCTTATCACCTTGGTTCCCATAACAATCTTACACCTGGGAATTGGATGAAATTAAACCGGACATTTGGCCGTTGGGGTGGGGTTCGAATGGGATGCTTTGGTATAATGTTTTGTGTGGGAAAATATCAGATCTTGCTTTATTTTCTTGCTATCATTGCCTCTCAATAAAAGTTCCTTTTGAAACAATGCCTGTTTCAAGAGTTCTGTTTTCTTGGGAGGATTAGTTGAAGTAGGACCTTACAACTTCCTCTCAAGATGGCTGCTGCACAGTAAGGGTTTCTTCTTCCATTTACCAACGATATTTTGATTTCACTTCCAAAAATTCTAATTCCCTCTGGAAGCGATTGAAGTCACTTGGCATATACATCTTCCAGTGAAGCAGTTTCATTTTCTAATACTCATGCCTGAGTATTAACTTTCACTTTTTGGATTTATTTTATTTTGCTTTAAAAGTTGATTAGTGGTTGAATGCTGATTTATCTCAACCCCTTGTTGGATTCTAATTGCTTTTTCTCTTTTTACTTTTTGATATATTATTCTAGATAACCTCTGTCCCTTCCGTATGGAAGCAAGGCAACATTTGCATGGGTGAAGAGCTCTCAGACTCTTACCACTAGATTCCGTATTTTTTGAATTTGCAAAATATCTGGAATTTATTTTTATTGATTTTTTCTTATAACCTTCTTATAACTGAAATATAGAGGAAAACATGTTTTGTCTGTTCTTGTTCCCTGGTCAAGTTTCACAGATTAAAATAGCTGAAGAGTGGCTGAAAACTAAGAAAGGAGAGTGAGGAAATATTCAGCCTTTAGCTGAATTTCTCTTTAAAAAACTGGATGAGACTATAATCTTTTTGCAAAAAATATTAGGGCATGGAACTTTGGATGAAGACACACAGAAGGACTTTGAACCAGTTCAAGATCAAAGAGATATTTTTGCTGCTGGAGAATTAACAAAATGGATTTCATCTATTGTCCCAAAGTTCAAGTCTATATGTTTCTGCTATAATATCCAGTCTCTGACTGAAAAGGGAAGTGACAAATTCCTTTCTTCTATGAAGATTGAGGGAGACTGGATGGATTTATTACAGGGTGGGAGCTAATGTAGTAATGTATAGTAGATCAGTATTCAACTAGAGGGGATAATATGTCTATATGTATTGTTGTTTTGATGCACCTTTTAAAAATGTTTTGATTGTTTTTTGTTTTTGTTTTTTGTTTTCTGTAGGATTTTTTCTTTGGGGTTTTCTATTTTGTATTTTAACCTTGTCTTGAATAAAATAAAAATATAGATTAAAAAGAAAAAGAAAAGATTTCTTAAACTCTTCTCCATCATCATAAAGGTCAAGCTCAACATCTGATAAACTTCACCTTTCAGCATATTAAATCACAACTTAAAATGCAAGAAGGCAGCTTCAGTCAGATGATGGGAAAAAGCTTTGTCATCGTGTTATGTGGAACAATACAATCATGCCTGGGAGATAACGCTTAAACATTTCCAGGATCTGAGTTAGTCACTGAGTGATTTGGCTTTATTGTTTAAAAGTTTTCTGTCCCGAAATGCTGACTTGGTATCTATCATCTACTCCCATTTAAAGAGAGCTGATCCACAAGAGGAGGAACTGGACCATCTTTGTTGTTTCAAAGTACTAATTTTGAGACATGACTAGTAGGTACAGCTAATGCTGTTTTATAGTCTGTGAAATTAAGGTAAGTGGAATGGTGTGACTACGACTAGCGATCATGCCAGAATCTATGCTTGCAGTACAAGATCTACAGGTCTGATTGTATTCACTTTGTACGTTTGGATCCAGTTTTGCCTGTCATGATTTGGACTATTTTATTTTTAAAGATAAAAATGATACCAGTTGGAAAGTTTCTGCTTTTAAATCAGAGGGTTATATCAGATAAGCGTAAGCATCTTTATACTCTCATGCACTGGTTTTAATGTAACTGTTCAGATAGACAGATATTGAGCCAGGTGGCATTGTGTCTCCCACCCAGTCCCATCAAGCATTATTATTAGTGTCCATTGAGATAGAATATATATTTGCTATTGTGTTGGTTCCAGAGAGCTGGGGCTCCATTATAGTGAGAGCTTGCACTGCTTTGTGGTGTGCCACACAGCTCTTCAGCAAGATTCTTTCTGCTCCCCCTCCCCATTCCCCAATACCTTTTCTTTCAATGTCTGCTTACATTTCCAACAGTGCCTTGGAATTGCTCATGCTGGCACTTTGCCTGGTGTTTTTCAGAATTCTGTTATGAGAAGCACAAGACAATAGTAAGCAATTCTAGATTTGTCAATACATTCAGCAGTTCACAGATTCCAAGTGTTTGTGTCAAACAGCATATGCTTTCATCCCTTTCATGTGTAAACATTTAAGAAGGCTTCCACATGTTTCTGGAGTGTGTAGATAGGACCTAAGTGCATCCTGAAAACAAGCTTGTTATGTGTGATAATATCTGTGAAATAATGGAGGAAAGGTGCTGGTTTGCTTATTGCTTATGTATTCCGGGACAGAGTTTTTGTGTGTTTGTGTGTTTTGTATCTCAATCTTAAAACATAGTCTCTCTCAAATTGAAGTCTCAGGATTCACATTATTGGCAACAGTTTGGAGATGGCTAGCTCAGAGCTTTATTCTGGGATGTTGCCTCAGTTTTCATATCCTGTCTTAGTCTGTCATCTCGGTGTTAAACATGTCTGACTCTGCTTAGTTTTTGTGAGTTTGCAGAAACTTATCTGAGTAACTGAATGCCATTTCTTCCAAGTAACATATGCACATACTTAGATCTATGGGCATTCAATGTCCTTTCTTCCAAATGGATTTCCCTAGATTCTGGTCATATGTTGGCCACTTTATAATAACATAATACTAATTATAAGTATCCAGACTCAGTTCTTGAGAATAATAAAGAAAAAATTGTGTTGCTTTCTGCCTATAGTCTATGTAGATTAATACTAGCCAGGTGTGGCTGGGTGGTTCCTGCTATTTAGAATGAATGATTCCCAGATTCCTTTGCCATTGACTGGGCTGAGTGGTTTGATAGGAGTTGAAGTTTAAAGTATCTGGCAATTGCCAAGGTGCCTATCTGTGCAGAAAATCACTAGGTTTCATTCAGAGATTTTCATAGCATTATGACTGGGGATGCTAAGTATTGAACTCAGATTTCTGATTGCAAAGTAGCATTCTACCACTGGACTATGGCCCCATTTTTCCCCGTAATGCTGGAAAATCAACCTATCACCAGTTAATTCTACTGTGAATATATTTTAGGAAAAGGGAGGGGGAATACTCCTAAAAGCCCAACCAGTGACTCAACTAGGATAGGATTTTAATTTGGATTTGTGAGGTTCCAAAGATGTGACCACTATGCTACATTATAATTTTGTTGTCCATGGAAGGAAATCTAGTCTGTACAAATATGAAGAGGTGAAGGTTCTCTCCATCAATAGGAGGTCAGAGTTTAAAACAAATTCACCCTGTGGTTGCTGTGCTCTGCTTTTAAAACTGCAGTGTTCAGAGTTCAGGAAGTCTTGTGACAAGATCAGCCTCAAAACCAGGGGCTTATTTTCTCCATTCTACCCCTACTTCAGAGGAGCAATGCAGCTTTTGCCCTTGGTCTCCTGAGCTTCCGTGACCCTATTCAGACAACCTATCCACCTCAATGGAGTACATGGTGTTTGAGCATTAATTGTATCAGTTTGTGTTTGCTTTATGGTAGAAAGGAGTTGCTAATGTCCTGGGGCGAACCTGTGGTTACTGGTAAGTGGGCTTCAGAGGAAATGAAATAAACGGAGGGAAAGAAGGATGGGAATTGCAATATAATAAGAAATGTAACACTTTGCTAAGTATTGTGGGGAATCAAGTTCCCAGGAACTTTGGGGAAGTCTTTGGAAGTATATTTACACATATCCAAATCTAGACAAGTGATGAAATTTGGGGTGGTGAAACAATTTTATTACTGGTTGGATTTTGGGATAAGCTATATAAGGCATTTGCTTGAGTCACCTGGAATTGTTGCTTCATAAATGTGTTTCCGTGGCTAACTTGTGTTCTGCTTATAATGTTGTGGTACCTGCATGTTTTTAGGCCAGTTTCTTTTGTTCTTCTTAAGGGAGAGAGGAATTATTATTGACCATTAAAGGCTTTATTAAGAAGACCCAAAAGATTGTCTAATGAAGCGGTCAGTAATAAGCCAGTTGTTTTTAGTCACTACCATCATGGAAAATATTTCTTTTTATATTCCTCACAAATAGAGATGCCTCTGTCACCACTCAGCAAACCTAACTCGTAGGGTTCGTGAGGAAGAAAAATTGCTGGAAGGACAGTTGGAAAGATCTTGCAAACTGTTCGCTCCCCATCCATACTCAAATGTATATTCACTCACCAATATCTACTTTTGAGTAAATAAGTAGGAAAGTGACAGATAGCCTAGACTACTTATCAGCAATTCTGATTTGCTTACGTAGGGCTATGGTAAAAATTCTACTCTATGTTTATTTTTCCTCAGGTTATCATGCGATGTAAGTGTGAGACAGAAGCAAAGATAAACATGCATTCCAACCACACAACTAGGAATGGCTGCCGAGTACAGGAAGTTATGCAGGTGAATACAGATTCCTGAACTGATATCTGGAAATAAGGCTGCTTTGGGTGTAGGGACTCATATCCAGTAGGTGGAAGAAAGTTGTCCGATTAAAGAGCTGAGTTTAACATGGAAATGGTATAATTTCTATGGATAGTTAGTTCTCAACTTACAACCATTTGTTAAGTAAACATTCAAAGTTACAATAGTACTGAAAATGTGACCAATGAATGGTTTTCACATTTAAAACCATTGCAGCATCCCCATGGTCACATGATCAAGATTTGGGCGCTTGGCGACTGGCATGTCCTTATGACAGTTGTGTTGTCCTGAGTTCATATGATCACTGTAACCTTCCCAGCTGGCTTCTGACAAGCAAAATCTGTGGGGGAAGTCAGATTTGCTTTAAAAAAAACACACTGAGTCACTTAACAACTATGGCAAAAAAATTGTAGAAGGATGTGCAACTCACTTAACTAATATTGCTTAGCAACAGAAACTGTGGGCTCAAATGTGGTCATAAGTCGAGCACTATCTGTATACTATACAAAACTCTAAAACTGAATTATGTATAATTGGCAGAAATAGTAGCCTCTTTTGATAGGGCAGAAAGGAATTATAGTATAATTCCTTTCTGCCCTATCAAAACAGGCTACTATTTCTGCCAATTATACAGTCTGGGATTTATTCTGACACAGCACATTGGGTCACCTTCCATTTTTCAAAGCAAAGCTCAACATTATATTATTGGTACTTATTAATATGATTGGTACAAATTGGTATCGATAATTGGTAACTATTCTTTAATTTTCTTATGTTCCAATTAGTATCTTCATTTATTTTCCTCTAAAACCCATCCTCATTATCTAAACCACCTTTTTACAGCGCTATTATTAGGGGTTCTTGGTGCTTTCTGAGCTTGGTTGTTTTCTGCGGAGGTTTCATCTAGATAACATCTGTGCTAATAAGGAGTGGCGCTTGCTCTCATTCTAGTGGCTTATCCTGTCAGTGTTGCTGGGAGATGGTCTTGGAGGTTCTTTTGTTGAGCTGTTTACTGTTGGCTTGTTTGCAGTTCCTTGATTGAGGTATTTTTTACTTGATTGTTGGTCTGATGTTAATCTTGGAGTTAACCTATGCTCATTTGGGTGCTGATTGCTGGTGGGGAGGTGTTTCGGTCTTTTAGTTCCTTTTTTGGCTTGTTGATTGTCTCTTTTGAATAGTACAGATAGTCCTCAAGTTACAAATGTAACGGAGCCTGTCCATTCCTTTCGTAACTCGAGGATTTGTAGTAATGAATCTCGTACTGTGAATGCGATTCACTCCCAGCTTTCGCCCACACATTCGCTAATTTAATGCATGGGTGAATGCATGACTCGTTAAATGAACATGAGGTATTTCAGGGTGGGGAAGGCCATGGGGGGGGCTTAGTGCTTCTGACCACCAAAGGCCTCCCCGGACCCACTGAAATACCTCATGCTCCCTTCTCTGGGGGCCCACAATTGCTCCCCCCCATCTTGCTGCACCGGGTTACTTCCCTTGTGAAGATATGACTCCTCTCCAGCCTCTCTATTTCTTTCTCTGCTCCCGGCAAGAACAGAGGGAGTCCTCTGAGCCCCAGAATGGACCTCCAGAAACACGTGGCCGCCTCCCGGCCTCTGTACTAGGCCTTAGAAGCCCGGAGGAGGCCTCCGAGGCGCAGAACAGACCTTCAGAGCCCCGCTGAAGCATCCCCCAGCGTCATTTCCGGGCAGCAGCAGCTTGGGAAAAGCCTCCGACGCCCAGATCAGACCTTTGGAGCCATGATGAAGTGTCTCCCAACATCCTTTCTGGGTGGTAGCGGCCCGGAAAAGGCCTCTGAGGCCTGGATCAGGCCTTCGAAGCCCTGCTGAAGGATCCCTCTGCCTCCTTTCTGGGTGACAGTGGCCCAGAAAAGGCCTCCGAGGCCCTTCGTAGCCCTGCTGAAGCATCCCTCGGCCTTCTTTCTGGGTGACAGTGCCCAGAAAAGGCCTCTGAGGCCCGGATTGGGCCCCGCTGAAGTGTTCCCTGGCGTCCTTTCTGCGTGGCAGCAGTCCAGAAAAGGCCTCCGACACCTGGAAATGAAACAAGGGGACGCTTCAGCGGGGTTCCGAAGGCCCAATCCGGATATCGGAGGCCTTTTCCGTGCCACTGTCACCCAGAAAGGAGGCCAGGGGATGTTTCAGCGGGGCTGCTATAAATTGAGCGAAAGCCTTACTAGCATTGATAATGTTAGCTAGTTTGGGTAATGAAACGAAACGAAAGAAAACAACTAAATTCAGAGAGCACCAAGGCCCCTCATTCCAACCCTGAGCTACAAATATTCTCCTTTATTGGTGCAACACTATTATGTTCCTGGGCTTCAAGATTATGACAGAGGAAAACTTCAATATGAGGTTACAGTGTGAACAGGAAAAATTAGGTACAATTACAAAATTTATCTTCCCTCTCCTGCCACTTTTTTTTTCATTTCTTGCCTGTCAATAAAAGTAACTGATTTTCCAATAGCAGAAAATTTATGGATTGTACTGGAACTTAGGAAAGAAGCAGAAGCTCCTTAAGACACATTGCTCAATGGGGTATTTTAAAAGTCAGACCCAAGTAAAGCGTTTTGCATAACTTGAAAGTATAAATATTGGAAATAGTGCTTTTAAGCTACATCAACCTTAAGATAATAAGAGCCAGGGATTCTGGCTCTTATTGAAATGTCTTTAATCAGCCTCCTGTCTTTTGCTTCAAGGGATAATTCATAATATAATACTTTTTAAAAGTATTTTTATTATCTGAGACCAAAATTTTGAATGTTTCCAAGCCTGTGCTGCATCAATGTTAAAACAAACGATCTGTTTCAAACAAGACTTAGTTTATTTGCTGCATTATTATTTTTCATATATTTTCTATTTGTTTAGCATCTTTCTTGAACTGCATTGCCTAGACATTACTAATATATTCGCCCATTGAGATCTGCCAGTGTTTGCATAGTATTAATAGTAATTTGGAAGTGGGGTGCTTTATTTAATGTTGGTGCAACTTTGTATTTATGTTACTTTAGTTGATCAAGAAGCAGCTGGTGAACTCCATCAAGGCACTTCAGAAAAATTATGTGACCTCTGATGCTCTTGTAACAAGTGATGATCAAGATGCTAATACTCTTTGTTGTGTATTGGAGGCTGTGTTTGTACATGGTTTGAAAACTAAGCACATCAAAGCAGAAATTGGAGCAAAAGGGAAAAAACATGGAGGGCGCCTTCCTCAGCCAGTGTTTTGGACTCTGCTAAAATCTGTCACACACAGGTGAGACTGAGAAATGCTACAATTTTGATTTGGGAAGTTACAATAGTGTCCAATGTTTATTTACATGGTGAGTATACAGTATGATGCAAGAGAGAGAATGCTAGAGAACTTGTCTCTTCTTGTATAGATTTAGTAGATAAAAAAGCCCCATGTTGTAATTGTATGTGTCTCAGTTACCTCTTGATGTGGCAGCAAAATGGTTCATAGGTTAAGATGTTAACTATGGTATTTCAGCCATAGTTCAGTAAAGACAGGTTTGAGACATGAGCGTTGCATGATAGAATGAGCTCCCATCCTCGCCCTAGCCATTTGAAAGCATGCAGATGTGCTTAGATAAATACGTACTACTTCAGTGGGAAGGTAACAGCACTCCATGACATCATGCTGGCCACAAGACCACAGAAACGTTTTTTGACAGTACTGGCTCAATAGCCCTTGAAATGGAGATAAGGATGCCCGCTATTGTTGGCAATGATTAGCGGAGTAAAATCCACAGGGTCTCCTTTATCTTTTTACCTCCTGATGTTTTCATCAGACAAGAATGCATCAAACCCAACTTTTACCACCAGTCATAACCTTGCTTTCCCTTGCCTTTGGGAGTTGTCCTTTTAATGGATGTTGTGTTTTCCCCTTCCTGGCTATTTCTCCTTTTTCAGAAACATAATTTCTGAACTGGAAAACTTGATCTTCATCAATACAGATGTGGGGCGTTGTCGTGCATGGTTGAGGCTGGCTCTGAATGATGGCCTGATGGAGTGTTATCTAAAACTCTTGCTTCATGAAAAGTCTCAACTCTTTGAATATTATCATTCATCTGCTCTGCTTCTGGATACTGAGGAGGTTGAATTTCTCCTCAGCTATTTGCAGGGCTTATCTTCTTTGGCCTTTGACCTCTCCTATAAGTCAGCAGTATTGAACGAGTGGACCATCACACCTTTATCCTTGTCAGGCCTTTGCCCTGCCTGGGAACTGTTGGACCCTCTTGTGGGACTGGAACCTCAAAGAAAGGAGTCACTTAGTTCTCTCTCACAATCTTCTGGCTCTGATGAAGTTGAAGCTCACCCAGCCATCCTTCCTGCCCCTAAAAGTGAACAGGCAGATAAACTCACAGCTTCCAACTTGAGCATCAGCACAACTGGTTCCTCACAGCTCTCTTCCAGCCTGGATTCTGACATTCTTCTCCCAGCCAATTCTATCAGCACTCACAGCCCTGCTCAGGAGAAAGAGCCCATCTCCAATGACTCTGAAGTGGAGATGACAACAGCAACAGCAGACTTAGACCAGGACCTCCAAGAGTGAGTATGATAGTGAAAGTGATATACCACACAATATTTTAACTCTGCAAGTATTAAATCAGAATTTTAGTGGAATTCAGCATAACACTAAAATAATAATTCCTGGATTCTTAATAATGTGGTTGGCATGTCAATAAGGGAAATCAACCTGCATATCTTTTCTCCCTTTTTTCCAAGCCTAAAATAGAATGTTGCTTCTCCTATCATTAGTCCTGTTTCTGCGATTTTTCTTTGACCATATATGAGATGCTGTCTTGGTCAAACAAACTTTCCATTTCATTCATGCAAGTGTTCTGATTTTCTTTTCAGCATTTGTGTTACATCACAGAAGCATAATCAGTAGTTCGTGGGTTTTTTCACCGCATGTTACATTACCTAAAGACTTAAACATTGAAAATGTTTAATGTTTATATATGACAATAAGAGTTTATCAGTTATAGGTTTGACAGTGGCACCCTTTTCAGAGCTTGAGAAAGCTGTAGTCTTGTCTGGATGATTCACTCAGTAAATCCACAACTAAGGAGCAATTTGAACTCTTGGCCAGTTTCCTATATATTTTGTCTGCAATTAGAAACTTCACTCTCAAAATGCTGTGTATAATGGATATTTACCTTGTTAGTTCTAATCCTTTAGACCAACTTAACACATAGTATAGAATGTATCAATTCTATTCATGTATTAAAACAGTTTATTTTTATGCTTGAAAGAGCAAGTTAACAGTTATTGAATGCGTTGAATAATATGTGACTAACCTCAGTCATCTTTGATACCTTATCTTTGGACTCCATGTGGTACATTGAGAGATAGAATTACTGGAGATGATCTCTCTCTTGCAAATGTTTTAAATTTTTATATTTCTTTCTAGGGTGTTAGCAGAATTTACCAGGACACAGAGAAAGTTGGAATCTGTAGGAGTTCATGAAGCACACATCATCTCTCAGTCTCCCCCACCAGAGTGCCCCTGCCCTGCCACCAGTTTCTGCACTGTGCACCTTCCTCATACTGTACTGGCAAAAGGCCCTGTTGACATCATGCTACCTGCAATAATGATAAATTCACAGCTTCCCAATTTACCTAAGACTGGAGAATCTGTTAATAGTACCAGTGTCCAACAGACCTCTATGCTAACCACAATAATTGTGACCAAAGAACCTGTGGATGTGTCCCAAATTCATTGCAACAAGAGAGGAGCTAAAAGCCGGACCGATGAAGTCAATGGTTATGAAGGAAGCCTCCCAGGAACAGACCAGCTTCTTTCACCAATCTCACCAGTGGTCTGCCCTGTAAGAATTACTTGTTTCGTTCTGTTGTGTTTTTGTAGCTTCTGGAGCTCTTTCTAGCCTCATTGCCAAAAATTGGCAATAAAACTGCCAAAAGAGTCAGTCTAGTTCCCTATTGTTTTGAAGTGGGGAACTTCAATTAGTGTAATTCTAGAACAAGCTTAGGATGTTTTTTTAAAAATAAGCTTAATATAGCAAAGAGAAATCCTGGCTTGTCTGGCTTGCTTTGTCTAATGAGGCTTTTGGCTCTCCTCAAATAATAAAGTGGCCCTTGGCCATCCTTTGTATTTCTACCATAGTTCAGTAAGTTCTGGAAGGCTATTTATGTTGCCAAAATTTGTACACGAGGCATGCCAAATAGACCTTAATTTTCAGTACCCTCCCAAAAGCATTAATTTTTTTTTTAAATTGAATCTCCCTGAAGCAGCCCACTGGAAGTTGAGCCAGTTGTTTATCATGGAATACTAACTCAATGTTTGGGGATCTGAGAACTCCCTACATATTTTTTTTAATTTGTATTTACTGAGCTATGATTAACAAACACTATCAGGTAATTAAATTAACATAAATCCAAGATAAAAAAGAAAACTACAAATAAATCTACTAAAATGCAAATAGACACTTGCTATACCTGTACAGATTTACCATACATGTAAAGTATTATCATATTGTTATTGTCACTTTTTTTATAAAGATGAGAAATAGCAAATCCTGTCACATTCACAGCTATGGGCCTCACAACAAATGTATGATGTTGATCAAGAAGTTCCTTTACAGCTCCAGAAATGCTTTTCCTGCAACTTCACTGAAACTTCCTGTCCTTGGCTTCATTTCCTCTAGCTACAGTGCCTTATTCCTGGCTTTGAGCTAGTCTGTATGTCATATTTAATAAGTGATGTCACCTTTCCCAGATCACTTTTCCCAAATATCACCTATCTAGTCCATTGACATCCAGAAGAAAGACTATGGAATACCTTTGTAAAACAGTGTCTAATATTTTCCCAGCCATTTCCAAATTTCTCTAAAAATGACTCCTGATAATATGAAAATTTAGGGGAAAAAAACAAAATTTCAGGTTTGCTTTTATTTCTGTGTATATATGTATGTGTTTAAATTGTTCAAAATTAATAGAATTTTAAAAATTAAATGCTGATGCCATGGTTCCGATAGTGTTTCTCAACCTCAACAACTTTACGATTTGTGGACTTCAAGTCCCAGAATTGTGGACTTCAAGTCCCAGAATTCCTCAGCCAGCAGTTAGATGAAACCAATTAAAAGAACTTCAAGGCAAGGATTTCTTTTTTAAAGACCATTTTATTCAGGAAACAAAGTATCGGCACTTACATAGTTGAACCCAAGACTAAAGTTCCCTCCCTCTGTTACAAAGTAACAAGCTGCAATTCCCACCCCAGAAAGGCCATCATAAATCACATTCACCAATTAATCTAAAATCCTCCCCACTTTACAGCCCTCCAAAACTTTATCTAGAATTGACCTTAAAGCTCACCCAGCTGCAATTGTTTAGGCCAGGGGTAGGCAACCTTGGCTCTTTTATGCTGGCTCAGGAATTCCGGGAGTTGAAGTCCACAAGTCATAAAAGAGCCAAGGTTGCCTACCCCTGGTTTAGGCTAACTTAAAAAGCTCAAGCATTCCTCCCACCCACCCCTTCTACATCTGAGAATCCCAAGCAACAGAAAAAGCACAAGTAAAGTGAAAGGTAAAATGGCTGCAATTTCTTAACTGTCACAGCATTGACATCTGATTTGTCACAGGCTGAATTTTTTAAATCAGGTTGTTTAAATTAGTTGATCATTTTTCTTGGTGCTTTAAATTGTACGTTTGGATCATGTTTTTTTACCTGATCAGTCCAACCAAAGACAGTAATGATAATGACCTGTAGTTAGAGTGCAAGGTCTCAGATCAAGTCATTCAATATAATACTCAATTAGAAGATGGCTGCTTTGCTGGTCACTTGCAAGAAAAAGCTCTCAAAAGAATATTGCTACTATCGAACTTGAATTTTATTTCTATTTGAATCTAGTAAAGCTCAGAATTATCTTGCCATTCTTTCCACATTTCTTAATCACCGCCCTTTTCATTTATTCTTGCTTCCCATCTTGGCCTGGGCTCCATTAGATCTGAGCTATGTCAAAAGTAAGTGCATGACAGCCATAAGAGAAGGCTGTCCTGCTAAGGACAATTTATTATTTTCTCGCATCAGCCCAGCTGCTTGAATTCAGTAAACTCAGAGCCAGAAGAATAGCTTGTTTGGGTAATAGCACAAATGTTATCTTTTGTTATTTCCCAACAGAAAAGAAGCTGGATCACTGAGGATGATTTTTACCTTCCTTCTCCTCCTGAGGAAACAGAAAAAAGCTTCTCCAGTTCTCCCAGTACCTCACTAGAGAGGCTTACCAGTACCCAACCTGCTATGCCATTGAGAGCCCCAGATCAAGGCAAGCTCTCTGTATCCTCAGCAGAGCTCAGCAAACTCAAACTGTCTCCTAGGAGGGAGCTGAAGGGCTTTAGTGTTGTTCATCGGAGAGAAATAGGTAACTTGTGTTTTGACTAAGGGAGGAAAGATGAAGTGGAATGGGAGGAGAGATTTCTATGGCGGTTAGAAGAATTTATAGTAATGGAAGCATCATCCATTTTGCTGCTTTACAGAAATGTCACTTGTGCTAGAGAGTGCATAAAGCATTCCTCTCTCGTCCCACTTGTAGGTCTTTCCAATCCATTTCGGGGTCTGCTGAAATTGGGGACTCTGGAACGTCGAGGAGCTCTGGGCATTTGGAAGGAGTTTTTCTGTGAGCTCTCACCTCTAGAGTTGCGGCTATTTGTAGACTGTGAGGAGCGAGTATGTGTAGAAAACTATTCTCTGCTGAGATGTGAGTCCTTAGGACGGGCTCACAGTGATGGGCGCTTTGAGCTGGTCTTTTCCAACAAACGATTGTGTTTTCGGGCTTCCTCTCGGGATGAAGCAGAGGACTGGTTGGACCGGCTGCATGAAGCCCTAAAAAAGTTTAGGCTACAGAAGGATGGAGGGTGGGAAACTCTAGAGTGCCCTGAGGCTGCAGAGGATTCTGAGGATTTCTTCGGAGGTGGACCACCTGGTGACTTGCCTTCCTTCTCGGTGTACAGTAGAACTGGCCCAACTGAGTTGGACTGGTCATGTGCCTTGAAACCCGAGCTAGATGCAGTCAAGGAATCTGTCCTGTACTTGGAAGTTGAGAAAGCATGGGTCCCTTTGGTGTTCTCCCTGTCCTTAGAAGCCTTGAAATGCTTCAAAGCCAGAAATGATAAAAAGATACTGAGCAACAGCTTTGGAATTGAGACCATCCAAGATATCCTGCCAGATGTGAGCTTGGGTGGACCTTCATTCTTCAAGATCATCACTTCAAAAGCAGTGCTGAAGTTGAGAGCTGAGAACACAGAGGAGGCAACTGATTGGCGAGACCTGGTCCGCCGGGTGCTTATGTCCTACCTTGAAATGGCTGAGGAGGCCCTCACACTTGGAGGCCATCTGGATGGCAGTTCACAGGCAATCCTGAAGAATACTGTTAAGGAAAATGGATATTTGCTGCAGTATCTGATTGCCATCCCCATGGAGAAAGGCCTGGACTGCCAAAGTTTCATATGTGCAGGTAGGCATGTATGGGATGCTTGCAAAAAGATAACTTATGTCAAGCCTTTTTTAAATAATGTATTTTCCCTTCCAATTAAACAACTAAGATTGAGGATTTTACTTCTCCATGTGTTCATTTGTAGTTTAATGTGATTTTAGAACACAAGATGTTGGTGGTCATTGTTATTACAGTGTTAATATAAGTTCAGATTAATTGTGTAGTGGTAAGTCATTGAAATATGTAAGTCTTAAACAAGTCATAATTACCATAAGCCTTTGTTTTATTAGATCTCTTCAGTCTTCTAATGACTAAATATTAATTTAATTAATAGAAATAACAAGAAATTCTTAAGCTGGAATAACTGAAGGGGAGGGGGGGCAATCCTTAAATGTCTGATTGTTCTGTTTTTTTGTAATTGATTCATTTTGAATGCCAAAACCACACTTTGTTTTCAGGGCTATTTGCCCAAGAAGATGGTAAAGTAAAGCTTGAAAAATTTTAGAGGCGCATGCATAAATTATTGGAAGTGATTTTGTTTGTGAATCTCTAATTAGCATAAATTCATCTCTGGCTCAGTGAAAAGCTGGTCTATTAACTGTTCAGAGGTTGCAAGCACACAGGAAGAAAGATGCAGGAAGGTCAGACAATGTGTGACAGGCAGGTCTTATGAGCAAATGCAGTTTGTGAAGCCAGCTGCTGATATCGTTCTCTAATTCATAATCATCATTGTCATCTCTAAATAGACCATAGACTAATCTACTTGTTGACTTGACTGCACTTCTCTCTGTTTGTTTGAATGAATGAATAATGAATTTCCTTGCTTACATTGAGCTACTCTTGTATCTGTAATTATTCAAAAAATATCCAGTTTTTGCAATTTGGATAACTGGAAAATGTCCAAGAATCCTTCAGTATAGAGTTCAGTCTAGAAACACGATAGTGCCTATGAGCCTCTCACAATGAAATGCAGGAATTTCTATTGGCCAGAAAATATGGGAATCCATTTTACTCCTAACATAATTTTGTGAACAAAAGGAAAGCTAAAGGTTATACCTTTCGTAGTAAATCTGATAATAAAGCCAAAGATCAGGCCACATTTCCTGATTTCTGAAGAGATCTATCTTTCTTTCCAGCCACAGAGTAGAACAGTTATTATATTTCTATCCACTAAAATCAGAATAACAAATAGTTCTGTTCTAAAACAGTTTGGCCTTGGCCTTTCTTTCTGTTAAAAATAAAGAGCAATAGATAAAAATATATTGATGTGTAATAAAGGCAGGAGGCGTGTGTGTGTGTGTGTGTGTATGTGTGTGTGTGTACACATATTACACACACAGGCACATCCATACTTGAGAAACACAGATCTAGAGACTAAGGCTGAGCAATAGCTGATTTGTCAACTTTGGTTCAACTCTAATATCTTCCTGTTATTATAGGCAGTGGCCTAGTCAGCAAATGGATTGTGGGAACGGAAAACTGACTTCTTTGGAGACAGCAATTGGGGAATAGGCTGTTTAAATGCAAAAGCTTCTCCAGTAACCAGGAGTCAGATTCTGGCAATTTAAGATATCCCTAACATTTTGTCTTTCCTTTCCAGGCTGCTCCAGGCAGATTGGCTTTTACTTTGTGAAGCCTAAGCTGTGTTCATTCACTGGCCTCTATTTCTGTGACAATTGCCACCAAGATGAAGAGTCTGTGATACCTTCACGTCTAATTCATAACTGGGATCTTTCCAGATATCCGGTATGCCCAGTTATGGTGGGAGGAGACATAGAGTATATAAGCTCTGTTTGTGAAATTGTCTCTTTTAAATCCCAGCTGCATAACTATAGTCACAAAATGACTATCATTTTCATTATGAAAGAGAGAAGCTTGAGAGTATCTGTAAGGATCTCCTTCCTTTGTGTCCTACCTGCATTGCAAGTTAGCTCAGATAGGTGCAGGTTTTAAAAAGCAGATTAGCAAAATTTGACCTCCGTCTCTCTGAGTGTTTCTCCTCCTTAACAAGTGGATTCCCCAGTGCTGGCTGGGGAATTTGGGAAACCAGAGTATACACATTTTAAATTCGTTAAGGTTGAGAAACACTGATTTAGCTTAAGATGTCAGGGACCATAAAGTATGAAATCTATGAGCAAGGTAGTATTCTGATTAGGATTTTTCAATTTGTGAGCTGCTACTGTTTTTTTAAATATATATTCTGTTGTATACTGGGATCGGTGAGGCATTGAGCAGACGGAAGGTTAAGTAACAACTCTTTATTTGAATCAACACAGAAGCGACTCTAACAGCTGCTTGGCTTCTATTTATATTGGACTGCCACGAGGCGGCAGCCAATGAATTTAAAGCACTATTTGCCACTTAAAGTGCTGGCTTGTTACAATACACAAATGGTTAGAGACTTGTTTAAACATAATCATTTAACTGCTTTATAACTGCCATTATAAAATGGTTCAATACACAACACCCCTTCCCTCTAGGTAATCACATATCACGATAATGTATATAGTCTTGTAAGGAGGCAGGAGGGTTTCGCGCCCGCCCCAATCATTGTAGCGCCATTGGAGGCTCCTGGTCTACCAGCCCCTTTGATGAGCTGGGTATATCAGGGTTCCTAGAGCCGCTCGCTTCGGGTAGACCGGTGCCTTCCTGGACGTTCTGGCTGGGTAGACCGGTGCCTCTCGGAATGTCCTGGCTGGGTAGACTGGTGCACGCATCACCCACTGACAGTCTGGGAAACAAGTCCGTCAACAAATCCCTTTCTGTTGACATAGTCTCTGAAGTTTGTGGTGACTCGGACATGGATAAGTCACCTTGCCTCTCCCTGTGAGTCTCACAAGAATCAGGGGACTCAGATGTGTTGCAGTCACCTGGCACCCCCCAGCTCTCCTCACTGTCAGCGGTCAGGGTTTGATTAGCCTGCTGCTGTCGCAATTGGTCGATGTGGCACCGAACCACACAACCATCTTCCAGGGCCACCTCATACGACTGTGGCCCCGACACCTTACAAACCACAGCTACCACCCATGGTGCCCCTTGACCATAGTTCCTCGCCCAAACTTTGTCACCGATTTGCAGATTCTGCGGGGGGCTTGGGTTGTGCTATTTCCGCAGCTGCCCGGTCCGGATGGAGACGGTCCAGCTTTATGGTTAGCCGGCGTCCCCATCTCAGTTGAAGTGCATGGAGTTGTGTGTTGGCAGAGCAAAAAGTCTGCCTGCCAATGATGCCAATCACCAGTCGTTATTCTTTTTAGCGCTTCCTTGGTTGTCCTGATCATACGTTCTGCTTGACCATTAGAAGCCGGGTGAAAAGGGGCAGAGGTAGCATGTGTAATCATGTTAGTCCGTAAGAAGGACTGAAACTCAGCAGCAGTGAATTGTGCCCCATTATCGGACACAATCACATCAGGCAAGCCATGCATGGCAAAGATTCTGCACAGCTCCTGGATGGTCCTGGCAGTAGTCATAGTAGGGACAGGTGCTACCTCAAGCCATTTAGAGTAACTGTCCACTACAATGAGGAACACCTGTCCTTGGAAAGGTCCTGCAAAGTCTATATGAATTCTAGACCAGGGAGTTTGCATGGTCTCCCAGAGATGTACTGGGGCTTGAGACATTTCAGGTCTGGTCTGCTGGCAAACCTGGCATCCTTTTACTTGAGCCTCTATATCCTTATCCAACCCTGGCCACTACAGGTAGCTTCTCGTGAGTGCCTTCATCCTGACTATTCCAGGATGTCCCTCATGCAGAGATTCTAAGATCCTTGCTCTTAATTTGTGTGGGACTATAACCCGACTTCCCCATAGAAGGCAGCCCTTGTAAGCTGATAGCTCATCTTGTCTTCTGATGAAGCTGTGAAATTCTGTCCCAGGACTGGCTTCAGGCCACCACCTCAGCACCCAGTTCAAAATACGACTGAGTGTTTTGTCAGTGGCTGTTTCAGTAGCCACATCCCCAGCGTGAAGGGGAGACTCTGGCAGATCCTGGATTGTCAGGATACGTGCAGCGGGTGCAGAGTCTGGCTCTGATTTAGGCAGGGGCAGCCTGCTGAGCGCATCAGCATGGCCCATTTCCTTGCCAGGCTTATGGACTAGCCTGTAATTGTAGGTTGTCATAAAAATTGACCACCTCAGCATCCTAGGGGAAAGGATCTGAGGGGTTTGCTTGTCTGCAGTAAACAGACCTAGAAGAGGCTTGTGGTCTGTAAAGACCATAAATGGGCGACCATAAAGGAAATCGTGGATTTTTTAAATTCCAGCTACTATTGCTAATGCCTCCTTGTCAATTTGTGCACAATTTCTTTCTGCAGGGAAAAGTGTCCTTGAATAATAAGGGACCATAAAGCATGAAATCTATGGGCAAGGTAGCATTCTGATTAGGATTTTTCAATTTGTGAACTGCTACTGTTTTATATATATATAAGACAGACAAATGACTCCTGGGAATATCCATGGTACAAAATAAAAATGCGAACACCAGGAGAATATAAGACAATTAAAAGTTTAGTAAAAACCTTAAAAACTTTTAAAAGCATACAATCATAGGGGCCAAGCGACGAAAGCTTGGCCCCTATGATTGTATGCTTTTTGTATGCTTTTAAAAGTTTTTAAGGTTTTTACTAAACTTTTAATTGTCTTATATTCTCCTGGTGTTCGCATTTTTATTTTGTACCATATATATATATATATATATATATATTCCCTATGGCCAAGCTCAGTAAACAGAAAAAGTATAATTTTCTCAAGATACAATCTCAGTTCTCAGAACACAAACTCAGCTACTTTCATTTCTCTTCCTTTTTATTATTATAAACTGTCTGGAGTAGTCCCACAGCGAGATGGGCAGCAAATTAATTAATTAATTAATTAAAGAAAACAAACGCCCAGTTCAGATTATAAGAAGGTACTTACTAGAATGTGAGCCTTTGAGAATTGCACTATCTGGATTCCTTTTTATAACGTATAATATTCTTTTGCATGGCTTTCCTAGATGTCACTCAGGGGCTTTTACAGAACATTCTCATCTTGTTGTCTCTGTCAGATTTGTTGCCAGGCTCTGAAATTCCTAGCCAAAATTCAAAATCAACCCTTGATTGACCTGAAGCTGGTGAATGAAACCCTCTATGACCACGTAGAGCAAATGAGACAGATTTTTCAGAATCGTGAGCAGCTGAAGCTACTGGGTGATTACCTTGTCCTTTGTCGCAGTGGCGCCCTGAAGGAGATCAGTAAGAGGTGAGTCAGAGGCGTAAGAGGCCCTTCTCCAAATCAGTATATTAATCTGAATTGACTCCAGCCTTCCAACACAAGGATAGGCAAGCATTCTGTTTCCAAATGCTGCTGGCTATTCAGTCAGAGATTGTATGTGGATATGGATACCACAATCACTTACAGATGCCTTTTGCACCACTTTCATCCATCAGATACACACAGCTGCCTCCACAGAAGTCTTTTATGTACACGTTCCCAAGCTTATTGCCATCCTCATCCCACATGCAAGAGCAGTGGAATACTTTTGTTTCCGTGTTGGCTGTTTTGGACATAGCAGAATTCTAGTCTTCAGCTATCCCTTTCTCTCTCTCTTTCTGTCTGAAAAGTGGTCTGGTCCCAAATGGATTCCAGAAGCATTGCAAGAGAGAGAGAAAAGGAGAGATAGATTGTTTCCATCTCTTCAAGTCAAGAGGATAGGGGCTTGTATTGGATGACACAGAAGACTCCTAGGGGTATTGTTGGGTCTGGTTGTCCCAAACCTGAGTAATTGATATGTGTAAAGTGTGCATTCTCATTGCAGAAAAAATGTGGCTAGAAAATTAAAGAAAAAATCTCAATGTATTGGTATCCAATTTGGCCCTGAGTACCATCAGTGTGTTTCCTGTGATCTCTGGGAAATGAAGAGAAATCAGCACAGGCATAGAGCAATGGTGTAAGAAGTCGGTTTACCTGAAATCAAGAAATATGGGTCAAGTAAAAAGTATCTTGTGACACAACGGCTTGATGAAAGCAAGGATTGGGAGGAGAGGCACACAATAAAAGCAGAATGAAGGAAAAAGCCTAAAGAGATCAGCTTGTGTGCAAAAATGGAACACAAGAGCGAGAAATGGAGCAAGAGGTTTTATTTTATGTTGTATAAAACTCCTGGGATACTGTGGAGAACAAATTTTAATATACTAATGATGTTGTTCTTTGAAGGCTTGACCACCGGCACTATCTCCTGGAATGTCCCCATAAATACAGTGTGGCTGACCTGAGGCAGGTAGGAGATCTGGAAAAAAGAAATGTTTCAATCTAGAGGCAGGTGGAATTTCAGTTCAAGAAAATATTACCCATTCCTTCATCCTCTAAGCTGGATTCCCCCAAATCACAGCCTAGCAGTCTTCCCTACAAATTATTTGACACACCATGAATTGTTGCATCACTCAGTGTAGAGCAGGAAGCAAGAAACTTTTCAGAGCTGGTCTGTGCATGTTCAGATGCAATCTTTTCCTCTCATAACTTAGTCCTCTCTGAAGAGTATAGCAGCTCAGATAGACAGCTGAGCTCTCCAGGAATTCTCTTGCCCATTTGCTTCTGCTTACCAATTTTTTCCCTAGTACTGTATGTTGCAAATTTTTTGTTACCTGCACTGGATCTGCATTAACAGCTGCTGAAATGGTTTTAAAAATAAATACTGTATGCACAAAATGGAAAATCTAAGTTGTTACAATTTTAGAACAATTTGCTGTGTTCTAGAAGTTCTGCCAAGCCATTTTGGATCAGCTTCAGTTCAGCAAAAAGAAAACCCAGAGTATTTTTTTTTAGTTGTTTGAGGGGTTTTAGGAGTTCCTGTAGATTTTATTCCACTAGTTGTTGCCCACTATAGGGGACACTGTTCGTTTCTGTTTCTAGCCGTTAAACTAGCACTGTCCGAAGATCTTGCCGCAGTCTTGTGACTAGCATGACATCACAGAGCGCTGTTACCTTCCCACCAAATGTGAACCTATTTACTCACATTTGCATGCTTTCGAACTACTAGGTTGGCAAGGAACTGGGGCGAGCATGGGGGCTCACCCCATGACATGGCACTCGGGTCTTGAACCTGGATTGTCAGCTTTCCTGCCGAAAAGCCCAGTGTCGTAACCACTGAGCCACTGCACCGCCCCCCAAACCATTTGGAGGGTTTGGATGAAATAAAATCTGAAGGGATGCGAAATTCTTTTTACAGGGCAAGAAGGGTGCATTCACTCCTTTTTTTCCTTCGTTAATTTTCTGTATAGTATGTCGCATACCCTCAACCCCTCTCATCTTTCCAGCACCTTCCCTAGCCTGCCTTCCCTGATGCTTCTGGCAGTGTCCAAGTTCCGCATGTCCCACTAATCTCCCCATTCCAGGTCTAGGACAATTCGCCGTGGCCATGTCACTACAGCCAACTCACTGCGGGACAATTTGTTGTGGGACAATTCCACGTGGGATAACTCAACGCCTTGCTTCTACCTGGCAAGCCTTCCCGGTTTCTTTGCATGGAAAAGAGGCTTGGAGAATTTAGTCCTCCTTTTCATGGAAGCCCCCAGCCCTGGGGGCATTGTGCATCTGGAGGGGGATATCAAGACCCAGAGGCCATCCCAACCTTGGAACCCCCCTTGTCTATGCCCTATCAGATCACCCAGAGAGCCCTGGCCATGCTGAGGCTATGGGAAAGCATTGAACCTCCTCCTCCACTCTGAGTAGGTCAATCCCTGGATCCAGGGTTACCCCATCTTCCCCCACTGCAATCTGGCTCAGAGAGGTGATGCCAGAGCCGATAAGCTGCCACCACTGTCTACATGGGTAAATTAATCAAGAATTGCGTCCTGGCCAAGCACTCCCTGGACATTGAGCTTTGCCCACCTGGCTACGCTGTCCTTGCTCCCTGCCGACACTGGATCTCCCTTCCCCAGAGCCTGCGGAACTCCCAGCTACAAGCAGAAAAGGAGACCAGGAGGGGATGGATCTGCACCCCCCCAAGTCCAACTCTGTCCATCCAGATACTCCTTGCCCAGCTGAAAAAGAAGGCATTGCTCTGCCAATTCTGTGAGGTAACTTGGGGGATCAACTGATGAAATCCATCTGGCGCCAGCAGGGAGTGAGGGCAGCATAGCTGGCTGGGGTGTGTGAAGTGCAATTTCTGGGGAACGCTCGCTAGAGGGCTCGATCCTTGATTAATTTTCCCATTTAGCTACTGACGGCAGCAGTAGTTTGTCATCTCTGGCATCACCTCTCCAAGCCAGATCACAGCGGAGGAAGATGGGGGTCCCCCTGGATCAAGACTTACAGCGGAGGAGAAGAAGGTTTGGTCCTTTCCCACAGCCTCAGCATGGCCAGGGCTCTCCGGGTGATCTGGTAGGGCAGGGGCAAGGATTCCAAGGCAGACATAGCCCTGGGATTTCGACAACTGCTCTCCAGGGGCAAAATGCCCATGGGGCTGGGGACCTCCATGAAAAGGAGGACCAAATTCCTTAAGTCTCCTTTTCCATGCAAAAAAACCTGGAGGGCTTGCCAAACCGAAGCAAGGCATTGAGTTATCCCATATGGAACTATCCCAAGGTGAGTTTCCTATGCGAGTTGTCCCACAGCAACTTGGCCGGGGCAACATGGCCACAGCGAGTTGTACCATTTTGACCCACTCCTACTATCCTCCCCCATGATCCTTCATGTGCTTTCCCTTACCTCCCTCATCTTGGCTATCTTTGCTAATGTAACTTATTTCTCCATCTGTTTCTTATTCTACCATGGCATATCTTGCCACCCACGCCCCGATCTTCTCAACACCATCACTTCCCTGCCAGCCATCAGCTGCTGCCTGTATCCATTCCATAATCCTTACCTAACCTCCTCTGAACTACTTCTACCTAGACACGCCATGCACAGTATATTAGAAAGCAAGCTGGTTTAAATTCATGCATAAGCCAAAACATATAAAACACAACCTATTCTGATTTTGACATGGACCAGCCAAAACCAGTTGTTTCATGCCTTCAGATGTTTTAAATCAGACTGGCATCATAAGGGCCTTGGCCATTTTTTGCTGAATGACACGTGAATTTTGAGAATTCCTGTGAAAGCAGAAGTAGAAGTGGTTTCCCTGCTCCTCACCAACTGCTCATGGCCCTTCTCTCCTCTTAGATAGCAGATGGTATATTTGAAACTTTTCTTCAGTCGCTGATCCAATTTGCCTCTCACCATGTGTATAGCTGTGATCTTTGTACTCAGAGGGGCTTCATCTGCCAAATATGCAACAAGAATGACATCATCTTTCCCTTTGAATTTGATACAACCAGCAGGTAAGTTTTACACATGTCCTTTCCTCTAGAACTGAATACACATTTTAAAGAAACTAAAATAAAATTGAGTTCTCCAGTATATATTGACCATATCTTGAAACTCGCTGTGATAGCACATCAGGAAACTGGGTTATTTGTGGCACTATCTCTCCCTTAGGACAGCGGCCCATGACAGTCCCTAAAGACAGCTGCCTGTCCCACTTTGCTCTAATATGATAGGCAGACTTGGGGTCCCCTCTTTGAAGTAGTGCCATCTGATAGGAGCTAGATTGCATTCCTTCTCAGTAGCAGTGCCTTGGGATGATCTTACCCTCCCCACACACACACACACACACACACACCCAAAGGATGCTAAGTTGGCCCGGATCCTGCTGGCCTTTAGGAAAAATTTAAAAACATGGTCATTTCCCCAAGCATTGGACCAAGGTGTGTAAGTTCCCACCAGAAGAGGGTACAAATGTTAGCCAAGTTGCCTATTACCTATTATTGTTGTTCATTGTAGTTTTATTTTGGTTCTTTCTTCTTTCTTTCTTTTTAATAAGCTGACCAGAATGGCATTTCCAGGTGGGTTGGGCATACAGTATATATTTGTAAATGAATAAATAAATAAGTCCATCCTTTCATTCATTTACATAGCATAGTCAGAACTAGATCAGGTAAGAGTCAAAATAATTAATTGAATGTTAATGAAATCCTTAAATCCTTATCATAATGATAAGTAACAGAATGCTTATAAACATATAAATGTCCTTCTTAGAAAACATTTATTTCTTCAAGTCGGGGGTCAGGCCCTTTGACTGAGAGATTACTGAGAGGATAGAAAAAATTAAAATAATAGCCTTAGCCCACCATGTTTTTTCCAGATCTGTGACTGTAGGACATCTTTCCCCAGCTTGGCAAGTTTTTGGCCCACTAGGTGAAGATTATGTATGCAGTAACAAAGCACATCAAGAGAGCCTCCAGAGGTTGGGGAAGGCAGATCTCAGTGCCATAGAGATCCACTTTCCATGAGGCAGTCAAAATCCTAAAAAAGATTTCATTCATCAGATCCATCTTTGAGTAGCCTTTAGATATAATTGCTCATCCCCCAAAACTATAACAATGCAATGACACACATGTCAATTTTTCCCTTTGTCTATGTATTAGAGCAGGAAGAGTGCCTCCAAGCTCAGACAAACTTACTTCCTGCTGCCTGAGCCAGACAATTTACCTATGAAACAGGATGTTCTTGGAAGCCTCTGGGGAGTTTTTTGATTCTGGCAGCAGCACAGCAATAGTCACTTCCTTAATCGTCACCCTGTCTAGCTGGTAGCTGGGGATAATTTTCTCATGCACACCTCCTCAGCCAGAGGCACATTCACACTCACCCACACTCAGTGGCCAGCAGAGTCAACCAATGCTATTTATCATTTGAGGTACCCTTCTGGAGTGATAGGCAGTGATGATCTGTTATTTTAATAAACATAGCTTAGATACAGGGAGTAATCTCAAAATCCCTTCTTAGCTGTCAGGCAGAGGGAGAGTTCCAAGAGGCAAAAAGGTAAAGCAATGTGTAAGCCTAAGTGTGAAGAAAGAGGCAGCTATGTAACTATCTAATTTTTTCTCTCTACCTGTTAATTAGCTTTAAAGTTGCCTAATAGCTAGTAAAATTACTTAACCATCGAACAGTTTTTTTTTCAAATGTGCCAACTTTAAAGTATGTGTACTTCAGCTCCCAGCATATTGGCTGGGAAATTCTAGGAGTTGATGTCCACACATCATAAAGTTGCCAAGTTTGAAAAATACTGACCTAATCTAATCCATGAGGGTGCATATTTCTCTGGGGTTGTACTCCCCAAACTAACCAAAATTAAATTTCATCACATTTCATTTCCACATCTAATGTAATTGAAATGAATTTTAAGTAATTTGGTGAATCTCTAGCTACATATTCCCCTTAAGTGATATTAAAAATGCAATTTAATAAATCTGGAGATTTCAATAGCATACCCAAAGGTTTGGCAGACTCTCTGCAGCCCTAGACTCTTCTTTTTGCCCTTTCACCAGCTGTCCAGGACTTCTTTCTATACCTTCCCCCTTGTTCCTTTTGACCTGGTAACGATTGGGACAGCAACTGGGACCATATGTGCAATAGATGTTCTCTCCCGTGAAATGATACCTGAGTACCAAGGGAGAAAAACCATGTTTTCTTACAGAATTGGAATCTCTGAGTGGAAAGTTGTTTCAAGAGTTCAATTAAGGAGAACTGGTAGAAGGAACACACTGACTTTATTTGTGATTCCACTTTCGTACTTGAAATGTAAAGCTATTATAAGAGGGAGGCTGGCCTTTGAAGCCAATAATACAGAATGAGAATATCTAATACCTTCCAGTCTATTGGACTACAATTCCAACTTGGCTGTTGAGCTCTAATATGACCTTCTCAAGTAACTAACTTGTTGGAATATTCATGAGCAGGAAGAGTCATGTAGTAACTCAGTCAGCCAATGTGAAGAAAGTGCTACTGAGTCTGTGCAAAAAGGTTATTGAGTTAGAAGCTGGGTTTCAGTTTCAGGTTTCAGGTCTGTCTCTGCTGTAAGAAGTCTTCATTTATGCTATGTTGCTATGAAGAAGAATATATGGTACTGTAAATATTTTTATATGAATATAAAGAGTTTATTTGAATCAGCTAAATGCAGTCAACTGTGAGAGCTTCTGATTTATTTTTACCAACAGAGAAAATTAAAATTCTCTAACAGGTTATGGGCCCAGAGCTTACTAAGGACTGCATTGTAATTTAAAGCTGGAATAAATTGCCTGTGTTTAGAAGTATAAGAACAAGGCAGAATTAGCAGAATGGCTGCAATGGAATTTAAGGAAAGCTCTGTGCCTCGTTTAGGGCAAAAGAATTACATTATCTGGGCAGCAAAAATGGAATGTTTGCTGAAAGCAAAAGAGCTGTGGTATATTGTAGAAAATCCCCCACAAGTGTTTGCAGCTACTGATCATAAAAGCCATGATCAAGCCATGGCTTATCTCATCTTGAATTTAGATGATGAACAATTTCTAAATGTTGCAAATCTAAAGACTGCAAAGGAAATTTGGCTGAAGTTGAGAGCTGTGCACGTGAATGTTTCTGCATGCAATATAGTGCAATTGTCAAGAAAACTTTACAGAGCCTGTTTGCAACCAGGTGAATCTGTGGAAC